TTTAAATAAAAATTATGTACAGCGTCTTATTATTCAATTAATATTACATGTATAAAAGATTTGATATCAGTCAAGTGGCGTCAAGTTAAATAAAAATTGTGCATACCGTTTGTATAAAATATTTGTTGTCAATAATTGGCGTCAAATTATACTCTCATAAAATGATTAATTTACAACTCGAGTGACATGTATATACTTACAATACAAAATGAAAAAATTAAATCTTAATAAAATAATTATGTAAAAACACTTGGCGCGTTTTTAGACTTACATGGCGACTTCGGTGATACGATAGTACGACGGTGATGTAACAAGGAAAGTTTAAATCTCAGGTATCTCACGCATGCAAGATCATACAGTATGTATGAGATTTAGATGGTATAACGATAATAGTTTTCAATGAGTTTGGAATCGTAAATTTGAACAACTTTCACCTTTTCTCTCATAACTTTGTTGTTTTTTTAACTCAAACACTGTTAAATCTACAGTATCAAACTGAACCTTATTTGAGTCGCCACTGTTCCTACTTAATAAATTGTTATTTTTAACTAAAATAATATAGTTATTTTTAAATAAAACAATGGAATTTAAAACAATGGAATTTAAATTTGAACTGTTTTAAATTATTTAACTCCATTGTTTTAGTAAAAAAGAACTATTTATTAAGTAAGAGCAGTGGCGACTTAAATTCAGTTTGACACTATAGATTTAACAGTGAATATCTCCTTATTTCTTCCTATCATTCAGATATTTAATTTCTTGTAAAATACAATTTTATATAACTGATTGAATTTTAATATAATGAAAAAATTAAATATATATCAAATCATTTAAAAATACTAGTGTCATTACAAAACGCAGAATATAAAAACATTATAGATATTTTAATGTTCTACTTAGAGATGTTATATAAAAAAATAACATAAAACAAAAAAAAATTTCCTTCATTTGCTCTAATTACGTACATTTATTTTGCTCCTGTGATCCTTTATTTTTATTTTACAAATTGGAGTTACGAATTACGAGTTGTGTAGTGCTATTATTCTAATCTCAAATCCCATCTTTCATTCTGGAATTGTCTGGTAAATTCCACGGGAATTTGTTACTTCTCAGTGACAGCCTTGCAAGGACTCTCGATGTGGCTTTCCCCGCACGCTTGATCTTTAATCACTTGTGTAATTTCGCAACTACAAGTGGAGGCGAGTGAAGGCGAGTCGATTCGATCGCCTCTCTGCCATTTCGCTGCTACAAAGCGCGCTTCGTCCGTCTCCGACCTTCTCTGTGGCATTGCATTCTTCATGGAATCAACTCGATTTAACTGTAAATTTCTCTCTAGACCGTCTATACATCTATAAATTCGAGAAAAATTAACAAACTTAATTCGCAAATTTGTAGTGATTGCTTGTAAGTTCGAAATTGCATTTTATACTTTTACGAATTTATTATATAATTTTTTAAATGTATGTAAGCAATTTTGAATGATTTGTAAACTATATTTATATATAAGCATCTCTCTTTCTTTCTCTCTCTCTCTCTCTCTTTCTTTTTCTAAAATAAATACATTTTTCTGTAAAAAATTTTTACATCTACGAAAATTACAAACTTTTAAGCTTATTTATAAATGAAGATTATTGCAAATGGATTGTATTACTCTTCTAGGAGCTTAAAGTATTAGGAAATATCGCTCTCTTTTGTTCTTTATATCTCATTTGTTACACTATTCTTCACGATTATGTTTCTTTCGTGTCCAGCTTTGTTTCGCGGCACAATAGAGGTGCAGTCTTTTTCTTCCTCTCCTCCTTTTCTTTCTCGCATTCGGTTGCTATTGTCGTAGCAGTTTGGCAGCAGAGTCTTTCGAATATTTTCCAATAACTTGCTCTTTGTTATTGCGGAACTTTCTCGATGGATATTCCGAATCACGCTGTTCGCTGGCTGCAAAACACTGCAAAGTTGTGACGGCTGTCCGGCAAAACTTTGTAATTTCCTAACAGAAATAGGAGCTTGCTTCCCGTCTTTTTCCATTCACGCTCCAGTTTGACCCCAGTCTTTTTCCATGCTCCAGCTACATCAGTTTCCAACGATAAATTTTACTGCGAAATAATTAAATTAACATATTAAGTAATTCTTTATTGCCACATCAATGTTTTGCCATTAAAACTATGTCAAAATTTGTTTCTCGATATGTTTCAACTGTTGTTTTAAAACTAGATCTTATCTTCTGAGGCGATGTTTAACATAGAATTTTCACTATAATTCAAGTAACAATAATATGATTTATTTTTTGAAAGCATAATGATTAATTTATTTAAAATTTTATTGAAGTATAATATAAAAATAATCAAAGCTTAATGTAATTATATGGAAGTAAAATTAGAATTTTTTCCTAGAATATCTTATCTTGGATATTCTCGGAATTGCTCTCTTAATTAAGTTAAATAACGAAACTGGATAAGGCGGTATTTAATTCAAAGGAGAATTAAGTTACTCTCCGGTTTATCGCGGCTATAATCAGATTTATATTCATAAACTTTACTCATTCCAAATTTGATTTTGCCGCGTTGAAGAGGGGAAAACTTGTTTATAAGGATAAATCCTCGGGTGCTCACACATGCGAAAACTTGAAAGCAGTTTTATGCAGTCGCGGATGTAGTTTCGCCGCCGAATAATTCTGCCTTTTGCGCGTGTATCCGCATCCGAAAATGGCTCTTGCAAACTCCGATAACGAGGTTACGAACAAAAGTTAGACACGCTTAGCCCGAAGTTTTCGCAGAAACTTCATGGACAACGATTTAGGCGTCACAATTTGAAATAAGTGAGATCGGTTGGCTTAATTCTCTCTCAAATAGAATAGTATAATAGCACGTATATTCTCTTTGAATTTTTTTTACTGCTCGTGTTTTACACACTTTCTTGTTTGTTATGTAGACACTTTTGAAAGATTGAAACGCCACGTCTTGAGTTTTAACACGCTTGCGTTTCACCGTATCAGTCAACAGATTCCGCTGTATCACGTATTCTTTCCTTTGTCAAACGTGCAGGGATTAAATGACGGCCTCGAGCAATATACCGATGTGTGTTCACTTCAATCTCTCCTTTTCTGTAATCGGCTGTAATCTTCGTGACACAGGCACTCGATTATGCTCCTCCTGTACTCTTCTTCTGCGCTGAAGCTTTCCTCGCGACGGCAATATTTCGCCGGACGCGTAATCGCGCCTTAATGACATTCGACGACACGAACACGTTTAAGGTATGCAGGTCAGCCGAATGAGCAATCGCGGGAGATTCCAAACCTGTTCCTTTATTCCACGATACTTTAATAATCAGATTAACTTTTGTGAAAGTATAAAGTATGGAAATATGGAAGCTCTTTCAAGTTGCAAATGTAAAATATTCGTACCTACGCTCGTGCCATTTTATTTTTTATGGTAATTTTATAAATAATTATAGTAAAAGAGGCTCTCTCAATTTTATCGCATTATCAGATATCATTAAATAGTATAAATTAATCAGTTAAATCAATTGATGACGTGACTGCGCTTTACACACTGTCCAAATCCAAGTGTGTATAATATGTCTAAATTTTTACACATTTTATCTGTGTTTTACACAGTTAAATGCATATTTTTTACACGCTTACATATATTATTATAAAATTAAGCATGTAAAAATATGCATTTAAATGTGTAAAAATATAACACGCGTATAAATGCGTAAAAAGTGACTACAGTGATTTACACACTTGAATTTGGAGTGCATATAATATCGTATATATTGAAATCGATCAAGTCTGCCGTAACGCTAGATTGACATGAATAATCGTCCATTTTACTAACATTTTTAACAGGATTTTAAATAATGTAATTGAAAAACAGTAAATTTTCATTTATTTTTTTACTGTACCGCGTAAATACACGGTTGAAAAGTTCTTTTAATTTCAAAGAAATAAATGATTAAGGTGGCCGAATACGTAACCAGGCGTTATACGAGTACATATAGAAAATCCGCCTTTGTCGTTCCTCCTTTTAAGTTTGACCATACGAACCATTAAGGTTGCAAGCAGCTAGCCAGTTTACATTAATATCTCTTACGCAGGTAATTGGCACGTGTGTGTATATAGTGTGCAGCAGCGCACGCAGTTGTTTACCGCACGCGTGTGATGCAAGACTTGACTTCTAGCCTTCTAGGGAACAGTTAACCATTCCATTTCCGCCCGTTGTTGCGTAAACCCATCCCGCGCGCGTTTCGTTTTTCCTCCAAGTCGCGGCGAAAAATAATTGGATTATCCGAGTGCATTAACGAATAAAAACCCGAGAGCGCATATATATATATATCTCTCTTTTTCTCTCCTCAAAGTCCGTATTCCTCTATTATTCACATACGTTTCGTTAAGATTATTTTCACGGCACAAAGGGAGAAATGATCTTGTTACATCCGTGTACTTTGTGGACGCGATAACAGATAAATATTTTTTTACTTTTTATTGCATTGAAAATATAAAGACGAGATCCTCCGCGTAAGTACAAAGCATTCCCATTGGCGGGAAAATAAAATTTGCGTCGGCATGGAAATAAAAATTTTATCCGTGTACGAAAGTAAATAGATTAATGTAAGGGATAAAAATCCAAACGCGCTGGTATATAAAAAATGAGAATTCCGTACGATCGGCGTACAGAAATAAGAATCTGCTGCGCAAGTGCGAAAGTAAAAATTGTGCGTGATAATAAAAATTTCGTTGGAACGTAAAAAGAGGAAGTTTGAAAAATATTCGACAAACAAAATATTTTCATCCGCGCTTTTTATATCCAGCCTATAAAATTATTTGATACTCCATATTTTCTCGAAAATAATCGAGAATTTTCATTTATCGGGCAGGCCGCGTAATTACATCCGTTCAACCGTTGGCGATATGTCGTTGCTCAATAATTTTGCTATTGAAATACATACGCGGGGAGGAGGAAGAGAACGAGGGGAGGAGGGAGAGGGAAAGAGGATAGGTCCGCGCGAGTTAATCGGCTCGGTGCGATGACTCGATATAATCGAAATAAAATCACGAGCTTTATCGTCATCCATTTTATTGGAACGATAAATCAACGTGCGACACGATGCGTACGAGATAATTTTCGATATATCGCGTGTGCGAGAAAAGCGCCGCGCCGGTGTGTTCGCGGTGGCGTGATCGATGGATCCGTGAATTCATTTAATTGCCACCCGGCGGCTGTGCATAAATCTCGGATTATTGAAAACGCATTAATATGTGTGGATAATATAAAGCGCCGTTCGCCGGAACGACCGAAGAAAGAGACCTCCGTGTAAGCCGGAAATTGCGTTTCGGTACGACCGATGTTTCCGCCATCGCCATTTAGGCGCTGTATATCGATAAAACGCCGCGCTCATTATCTTCGTGCCTTAATGAGTCTCTCGATTACGAGAAATGTTTTGTGAAAAAGATGAGAAACGAGATGGGAAATACAGGAAGTAGAATTAATCGATTCCGATGTAGCATTGAAGTATAGTCTGTGAAGAAGAAATGTAAGAACAAAGAAATCTCTGCAGCGAAGTGTAATTGTGAAAGGAGCTGGATGCAACAGCAGCGGTCTAATTTGAGAGTAGGTAAATCTTATTAGAGTTGACAAAATTAAATTTAGAAGATTTAAATTTTATCTTAAAAGACATACTTGGAAGATTTGGAATATTAAATTTTTTCAAGAGGAAAAATAGTCTAACCCGAGTTTCCACTCAAGAAAAACTCAAGAAAATAAATTCTGAAACTGAAAGTAGGTAAGGCTTAAATTTAAATGTGTGCATATCTTTTTAGACGATCTCTTCTTAGAGATTATCAAATTCCTTGATCGCATCGTGCGCGACGACACGGAGAGAAATTCCTAAACCAGTTTCCACCGTCCACCGGAACTATAGTCGCGGTCTCGATACGTCACTGGATCCTGGCGCCGTGTCGTCGCCCTGTCCAATTACTCGCTCTCTTGTTTCTTTCCGCACTCGGAAACGCCACTCAGAGGCCAATCCCGCGCCGCCTATCTCTAGTCCCTTCGGTCCCTTTTCGCGCGCGCGCACGAGAGAGAGAGAGAGAGAGAGAGAGAGAGAGAGAGAGAGGGAGGGAGAGAGAGAAAGAGAGACAGGATCGTTCATCGTTTGTTACCCGATAAAAGAGCGCGGTGGGAGCGCGTGCAGGCGACGGATGTGTAACACACATACCAAGCTGGTATACCCACGAAAGCGGGTATCCGCGCGCGTGCATCGATGACTCAGCCGTGCGCGATCGATGCTTCCGCAATCGTTTACCTTCCTTCCCTCATATTTCATTCACTTTTTTCCCCCTCCCGCGGTGACTTCTGCGTCGACCACGATGACTGGCGGATTCAGGGGTTCGCTGAATGTGACAAGCCGACCTGAAACCACCTTGGGAGGAATCGTGTATAAAATTCTCACACGCTGACTCACGACAAACCGCAACAGCGATCTCTCATCCGGATATAGAGGATAGATGATGCGTCTACTAAAAATCTTCCGACGCGGGCGGTTTCATCACTGTTTCGTGTGGCGTTTTCATTACAGACCGCTATTGGGCCGCACAAAGAATCAAACGGATAAAGGACTTGCGTCACGCTCGCGTTCGTGGTCGAAGGTCGAACAGTCGATTTTCCTTGAATTTTTATAGAAATTTATTTGATGAGGTGATACTAATCGATACTTCAATATATATTTTAATTTCACATTAATCTTGAATCTATTATACAGTAGATTATCGAAAGTCAATTATTGGTATAATAGTGAATTATTCAATATCGAATATTAGTTATAAATATTAATAATGAATATACAATTAATAGTTTTACGTTAAATATTTAATTTATGCGTGAAATTTAGAGTTAACTATGTATAATTAATTGTACAACATTAAATCCTATTCCGACTTTTGTACTAAATTTTCTAATTTCAACACTCATTCCACGTTTAATATTGGATATATCAACCTAGTGAATCAAGAAAAACTCGTCTCTCCCGGTTGCGCAAAAGCGAACGGGTTTCGACGATCTAATTTCCTCTAACCTTCACGTCTAAATCGATGATTCACGTGACACCTCCGTCGAGTAAGAAAATTAATGTCGCAACGGCGTGGCGGACTCTTGGAGGATTGCCGAGGAGAGGCGGCCGCTCTTTTCCCGGCAATGTGATTCAGGAAAGGCGACGAACGCGAGTGTTTTAGAAACTTCAAACGAGGAGGCTCAACCTCGGCGAGGTTCCCTCGAACTTGTTAGAAATGTTGCGCGCGCGGGGGTCAAGTGGGCCCTTCAATCATCAATCTCGCTTTCAGACTTCCATCAGGCCATTCAGCCGAGAAGTGACCGTCAAATTCAGGTCGTGCCCACCCATCGCTCTTAATTTCGTATATATACTTCTGCGTTTCGTTCCCCCGTACTAAAAAGTCCTAGGTCGTCCCTCCGGCCCGGGTCCACTTGGCGATCGTCGAACTTGATATGGGTCTCCTCTATTCTCTTCTTTTCCCGCGTGAACCGTACGATCGTGCGAGCGGGGCGCGATTTTTACGAGCATTGCTTAAAAGTACGGAGAGCGCCCGTACACTTCGCCGCGGCACACAAGGAGCCCCGTTGTTCGCTTCCCGAACGAGAAGGAGCTTTCTTACGTGAGTATATAGAAAGACTTTCAGTCTCTCCGCCCCGGAATATGCATATGTGCGCGCGCGCGCGCGTATGTTTCAGGGTGGAAATTTTTTCCGTGAGTTTTCTCAAGCACCCACAATGACGGGTTAATTAATGAACGTCGACGTCGTCTCTCATCCTCCCCCCTCCCCCCTCCATCTTCCTTGCCCTTCGAAAATGATGAATATACCGTGGAAAATGAAACCTCGGCGCCACACCATATTTCACGCGTGTATGAAAGACGCGACGACTGCTGGCAAGCACGAGCGCGTCGATAAAACATGCATCGCGATACGCGATTCCTGTGTGAAAAACGGGACCATTCATTCGCGCGATAAATAGCTTCGCAATTACGCGAAATTAGCCCGTTCGATTTTTGCCCGTTTGAAAGGTTTGCGCGACGCAGAGCGGAGCGGCAAAATGTCAGATATTTCTCGATATTAATCACCGTCGAATAATTTCGTGTTTTGCAAAATC